CAAACTAAAACCATTTGTGTTATGGTTGGGTTTCGGTTCGATTTCGGTTCGGTTCGGTTTGAAGTTCGGTTTACCAAAGTAAAAAATATTATGTTTAATTTAGTTTGGATTGATTCGTTTGCTTATGTTTATTATTTTATTTGATCAAGTTCTATATTTTAGAATTAGAAAATGAAAGTAGTAGTCCGTCTCATCTTTTCTAATTTATTGATTATTTAAATAAAATGTAAAAGGAAATAAAAGATAGAAAAATAAATAATAAAATATTATAAATTAAAACTTCTAACATCTTTTATATCACTACAAAAATTTCACTTCTTACAAAAAATAAGATAGTTGATTAACATTTGTAATATCACATAAAATATTCAAAAAATCTAAAAGAGTCGGTGGTACAAATGTTGTAATATTCACAATTTTATTCAAATGAATCATATGAAAATATAAATCCAATTTGCTATAGTTATTGCCAAACATAATAAATACTCCGTACAAATATGTCGTATTAGCTAACTTTGTCATAATGAATGTATGAAATGTGTAAAAATTAAAATGATACGAGTATATGCTTAAATATGTATATTCATGTCTAAATTATTTATTTATATCTTAAAAATGAAGAGTGAAGATAAATGCAGAGTATATATATGTATATGTTGTTTGGTGTTCGGTTCAATTTACGGTTTTTCCGTTTTAAACCAAACCAAACCAAAGTACCAAACCATTCGGTTTGAGCAAATGTTTACCAAACGGTTTACTTAAGTAAACCCAAACCAAACCAAACCAAATCAAACCACCAATGTTAATAATATATGAATTTTTTTTAGTTTCTTTAGTTCGGTTCGGTTTAATACGGTTTGAAAGAAATAGTACCAAACTCAAACCAAATTGCATACGGTCCGGTTTCGGTTCGGTTTAGTTCAGTTTGGTACGGTTTGGTTAAACCAAACCGTTATGCCCACCCCTATGAACAAGAATGTAGGAGAAGGAGATATATGTGTATTCTGAATGAACTCTGAGTTATGTTTACAAGCTCCAAAAGGGAGTATATATAGAGAAATCCGGGTCTGTGCCTCTAATATGGGCCTGACAGACCCGATTACATAAAAGGAATGATAACATAAAACGATAATCTCGTACATACAATGAATGTGTAAACTGTACAATAATATAAATGTAGTCTACTAGATGTACGTGAGCCGATGTTTAGGCCCAATAGTCGGCAGGTCAGGGGGTTGGAGTCCATATACTCCATCAGGAGTCCCCCACTCCCTGAGCTGAGAGTACTCGAGGCGAAAGGGAGTAGAACTATGTGCTGATCTTCCATGTGATAGTGTGGTCAATGCAAGTTGCAATTTTTGTAAAAATTTGAATTTCTGCTTCTTCGATTAACGGAGGCTCTAAGTCCCCCGCTCTTCCAGTCTCCCACTCCTTAAGGCAAGTGTAATGAGGTGAAAAGGAGTAGAGTAATGCATGTCTAATGATGTCTTCAACAGGGGTCGAGGGTTGACACCTTTTGGTCCGTAATGGGGAGATGTCTCGTTAAAAACTCATTAGAAAAAATTCAGTGGGAAAAAAACCTAATGAGAAGTCCATATACTCCATCAGGAGTCCCCCACTCCCTGAGCTGAGAGTACTCGAGGCGAAAGGGAGTAGAACTATGTGCTGATCTTCCATGTGATAGTGCGGTCAATGCAAGTTGCAATTTTTGTAAAAAATTAAATTTCTGCTTCTTCAATTAACGGAGGCTCTAAGTCCCCCGCTCTTCCAGTCTCCCACTCCTTGAGGCAAGTGTAATGAGGTGAAAAGGAGTAGAGTAATGCATGTCTAATGATGTCTTCAACAGGGACCAAGGGTTGACACTTTTTGGTCCGTAATGGGGAGATACCTCGTTAAAAACCTCATTAGGAAAAACTCAGTGGGAAAAAATCTTAATGAGGGAAAAAGAGTACACCGGATGCCCCCAAAACGAAGAAAAAGGTGTGAGCCCTTCGGCCTAAGGATGGAGCTGCAGCGGTGTCCGTTTGCTGAGGGGATGGCCGAGGCTGATCTCTAGATGTGGGTAGCTCGTCATGATAAGTAGTCTTAGTCATCAAATAAAGATGACTAAGTGATGGGTCGAGTGACCGTCCGTAATATGATGTCCGGTTCATCAAATAAAGATGACCAAAATATAAGGCCGATGGGCCGATATGAGCTCCACGTCATCAAATAAAGATGACTATGAGGTACGTCCGAGAGGCCTGTCTGAACTCCGCGCCATAAAATAGAGGTGGTTGGGAGGAATGGCCGAGAGGCATATGGCAGGCAGATATTGCACGAGCTCCATGTCATCAAATAAAGATGACTGGAAGGCATATGGCCGAGAGGCCTGTACGAGAGCTCCACACCATCAAATAAAGATGATGGGGCGATATGTGGCCGATGGGCTTGTATGAGAGCTCCACGTCATCAAATAAAGATGACGGGGCGATGTATGGGCGGGGGGCCTATATGAGAGTCTCATGTCATCAAATAAAGATGACAGGGCGATACATGGGCGAGGGGCCTATATGAGAGTCTCATGTCATCAAATAAAGATGACAGGGCGACATGGCGATGGGCCAGTGAATGAGCCACATCATCAAATAAAGATGATGGGGTGATATGTGGCCGAGGGGCCTATAGATGAGCTTCTTGTCATCAAATAAAGATGATGTGGTGATATGTGGCCGAGGGGCCTATAGATGAGCTTCTTGTCATCAAATAAAGATGACGGGGCGAGATATGGCCGAGGGGCCTATAAATGAGCTTCTTGTCATCAAATGAATATGACGGAGCGAGATATGGCCAAGTGGCCTATAAATGAGCTTCTCGTTGTCAAATAAAGATGACGGAGCGAGATATGGCCGATGGGCTCGTAGATGAGCTTCCCATCATCAAATAAAGATGACGGATCGATATATGGCCGATGGGCTCGTAGATGAGCTTCCCATCATCAAATAAAGGTGACAGAGCGATATATGGCCGAGGGGCATATAAATGAGCTTATCATCATCAAACAAAGATGACGGAGCGAGGCGTAGGACACTTGTTTGAATATGAGGACGAGGTGTTGGACGCATGTCTGAATATGAGGACAAGGTATGGGACACCTGTCTGAATATGAGGTCGAGACATTAGACGTGTGTCTCAATATGAGGACAAGGCATGAGACGTCTGTCCGAATATGAGGACGAGGCGTAGGACGCATGTCGGAATATGAGGACGAGGTGTGGGACGCCTGTCTGAATATGAGGACGAGGTGTGGGACGCATGTCTGAATACGAGGACGAGGCGTTAGGCGCCTGTCTGAATATGAGGAGGAGGCGATGATGAGTCAGTCGTCATGTAATGGCGATGGTCACCATCCGGGAAGGGATGGCGAGCCCGGTCGATAGACCAAGACTTTGACGTTGAGGAGCCGGTCTCGATGATAAATAATCACGCCGAGGACGAGGGGCCGGTCGTGATATGAGGATGACGGTCATGATAAGCCGGTCCGAAATAATGATGATGAGGCGATGATGAGTCAGTCGTCATGTAAAGGCGACGGTCACCATCCGTGAAGGGATGGCGAGCCCGATCGCTATAAGTATAACGAGACACTCGACACTGGAGAGTCGGTCTCGAGATGAGAATAACGTCGTAACCGAGGGGGCAGTCATGATGTGAGGATGCCGATCATGAGGAGCCAATCCGAATAATGATGACGAGGCGATGATGAGTCGGTCATCATGTAAAGGCGACGGTCACCATCCGGGAAGGGATGGCGAGCCCAATCGCTATAACGAGACACTCGGCACTAGAGAGCCGGTCTCGAGATGAGAATCACGTCGTAACCGAGGGGGGCCGACCGTGATATGAGGATGGCGAATATGATGAGCCAACCCGAATAACGATGACGAGGCGATGATGAGCCGATCATCATGTAAAGGCGACGGTCACCATCCGGGAAGGGGTAGCGAGCCCAATCGCTATAACGAGACACTCGGCTCTGGAGAGCCGGTCTCAAGATGAGAATCACGTCGAGACTGAGGGGCCTGCCGTGATACAAAGGACAATGACACTGAGGGGCCTGTCAGAAAATCCACGCAACGGTCTTCATCCATGGAGTGAGGGGATGGGACCGGTCTTCAGATAAATGATCACGGTGAGACCGAGGGGTCTGCCGTGATGCAAGGACGTCAACACTTAAGGGCTGGTCCGGAAATCCACGCAACGGTCCTCATCCATGAAGTGGGAGGATGAGACCGGTCTTCAGATGAATGATCACGTTGAGACCGAGGGGTCTGCCGTGATGCAAGGACGTCGACATTGAGGAGTCGGTCCAGAAATCCACACTGGTCTTCATCCATGAAGTGGGAGGATGAGACCGGTCTTCAAATAGATGATCACGTTAAGACCGAGGGGTCTGCCGTGTCATCATATAAATGATCACGTTGAGACCGAGGGTCTGCCATGTCATCATAAAATGATGGCAAAATTGATTTATTAATGGAAATGAGTTGCGGTTAGCCTTGGAATAGCTATTTCAAAAACAGAATATCACCCAAATATGAGAACATGCACGCCTGTCGGATTATTCGAGCAACTCATTACTCATTTATACTTCTCTCAACGGCTTGAGGTGAATTCTTGAGAGTCTAGTAATCAATGACAAAGTTAATCAATGGCAGGCTTGCAACAAATCAATGAGGGTTTTTAATTAATTACTCCATATCGAATGACTTTCTTAACAATTCATTAGTTGTTGAATCGCTTTTCCATCTAAAGTTTAACAGTCATAATTTTGTGGAAACAGCACAATGATATCCATGCCATTAATTCTATGTATATTTTTTTTCAAACTTTGGCATTCCACCGTGTTGAATTCTAGTCTCACAAGAATTATGATGAATTCTTTTCAACTGTTTTCGATTTCAAACCAGATCAGACCAAACCAGATCAGCAAATATCAATCCAAAAAATCATGGTGGCATGTGAATGAGCCGTTCCACATTTCCATTTCCGACCAACAAAATGCTGGCAAAGCAAGAAAGCCAGAAATAGTGAACCCAGATACTACTCTATAGTCTATAGTACTCATTAAAGTAACCTATCCAGTAGACCAGGAAGAGGAAAAGAAAAGGCAGCTAAGAATCCTAAGCTTACAATTTACAATTCATCCTTTTAAAGCATAAAAGGCCAAACGGGAAGGGGAAAAAACAAACAAATCACCAGAATTCAAAAGGGCAGGTTTGGAGGAGATACATGCTAAAACGGCAATGGCCACCAAAAAACAGGTGAAGGAGCAGCCGCGATCAGATCTGGAAAATCCTCAGTCGAAGAACTCGTCGGCGACGAATGATTCTCAAATCGGTGAGGATGAGGCAGAGGACATGACGAGAACTGCTCTGGCCGCCTATCGTGCGAGGGAAGAAGAGTTCGAGAGGAGAAAGAAGGAAGTGACGGACAGGTTGCAGGCGCATTTAGGGCGCGTCGGGGAAGAACATAGGCGTTTGGCAGAACTCCATAAGGTAAAGTTCATGCCTTGCTCGTCTATCAGTTAACTCGGCATCCCTGGATCGCCTCCAATTGCATTATCTTGCCTTTTCTTTCTGCATTCTCTTAATAATTACAGTACATACTCTGTATACATTTACTCCCTTGTCCCAGAATCAAGTTGACTTTCACACTGTTTTACGTTACGGAGTATTTGATATTGTTTTGCACTGTTTTGATGTAGATAATTTGCCAAATAAGGAAATAGTAAGTTTATTTTAGGACATTCAAATAAGGAAAGTGAGAACTTGTTTCCGGGACGAAGAGAGTATATAATAAGCTCAATTTTTATACAGTAGTCAATTAGCAAAGCAGTGAAAAAGTTTGTACAATGATGATGGCCGATTGATCGTACGAAGGATACAGTTATAATGTGGTCTACACGAGTATAAGGTTTACTACCGTCAAATAGACACATCGAGTCAGTGTGATTTACAACATGCTTTAGCGGTTGGACCTTGGAGTTGGAGATTCAATCTTTTTTAAATAATATAAGCTCAATTTTTGAGTAACATTTAGTTATTTTTAAAGAAAATAAAACATACAGGGTATGATTCCATTTTTTAAAATAATTATGTTTTAGTCCTAATATGAGCAGTTTCCTCAATACGGAACTATAAAAATGGACGGTAGGAGTTCAGGCACATAACCGAGACATCATAAACCCCCAAAATGCAGTACTAACATCTCATTTGGAGTATGTCAATGCATAAATGATACCTTAACTATTTATATTGTTGCATTTTGGTATCTTAATTTTTAAATGAATCAAACAGTACAATAACTATACATAAATGTTTCAATTGACAATATTGTTTAAATTTCTGGCCAAAAAACCATGTTTGTGGTCCAGAATTCTATACATAAAGTCTGTTTCACCTTACTTCCCATGTAGTCACTTTGTGGTGGACTCTGCTCATAGAATTTTGATCGCAATGTAGAATTTTATGAATGCAAATTTGAATATAATATTGTCAATTGAAACATTTATATATAATTATGATATTAAATTGATTCATTTTAGTACCATAACCGGTGGTTACGGTACCATTTAAAACATGTAATTTGTTTCTCGTGCACGTGCCATTTTAAGTGTGCGATCATCTTCAACTCTTCTTTTATCCTTTTGGTAGAATTAAGACGAAGTTTAGTGTAGCATGTTGCCATGTTTCATACTCATAATTGTCATTTATTTGTTTGTGTTATTGTGTAACGTAACACTAACTTATGTTTTAGGTAGATTATTTATCAAGTCTGTCTAATATTGAACTTGCATAAAAACGTTCCATCCTAAATTGAAAAATGAGTGGTGTACACAAAATGTGTACAACTCATAATTGAGTTGTCTATGATAGACAATTTGTATATTGGAGACAGACAAATGTACAAAAAAGGTGTACACATTTTGTGTAACCCCTACCAAAACTCTTAAATTAGAACTGAAATGATAACAGGCGGTGGAAGGATTTGTTGATCCGATTGGGAAGGAAGCTGCAAAACTGCGCAAGAAGATAGATGCGGTCAACAAAGATTTGAAGTCGCTGGGCCAGACCTGCCAGCGCAAGGTGAAACATGCATATGTTCCTATTAACTTTTTAATTAAAGTTGCTTTCTTTTTTATTTTATATTACTCCCTCCGTCCCAGGGATAAGTTCCCGTGTTGACTTTCACACATATTAAGGAAATAAAGTTACTGAGGGGTAAATTTTACTGTTTGGCACTGTTTCGACACTGTTTGGCACTATTTCGACACTGTTTGGCACTGTTTTGCGCTGTTTGACACTGTTTTTATGTAGGATAACTTTCCATTTAAGGAAATGGGAACTTTTTGTTGGGACTGCCAAAAAAGGAAATTGAGAACTTCTCCCTGGGACGGAGGTAGTATTATATTATATACTCCCTCCGGTCCTTATTAAAGTTCTCACTTTTCTTTTCCGGATGTCTCTTATTTAAGTTCATACTTCCATTTTAGGAAACAAAACAATGCAAAACAGTGCAAAACAGTGTCAAACAGTGTCCAAACAGTGCACTCCACAGTAAAGTCAATTTTATTTTCTTAATCTGTGTGAAGTCAAACTGAGAACTTTAATAAGGACCGGAGGGAGTATTATTTCCCCTCTAATTTATTTCTAGGAAACTAAAACGACACCTTTACTACCTCAGTACCTCTGAATTATATCATGACTGTACTTTTATTTATGGATTCTTCTAGTAGCGTTTTGTAAGAAGAGGCAAAAGTTTTGGCCTCAATTCCAAGCAATTCTACAATTTTAGACAAGTTTTAATTAGAAGATCAGATAGGAGTTTAGGCATTAACCACCATTTCTATTAATTTAAGTGCTCTTACGCTAACTGCCGACATGTTCTTATGAGGTCGATCGGAAGACGGTTAAAGGTTATTAACGTGTTACCTTCATCTATACCTTTTCCTAACTATGAAAACTCACAGTATATCAATTTTGCAGGAACATGAGTATCAACAGGTTCTGGATTTATATAATGTGAAGAGTAAGGAAAAGGCTCAACTCATCACCGTACTAATGGAGGTATAGTTAATTAATATTGCACATACAGTCACATAGCTCTATTAACATGTATGCATACATGCATACATTAATATTATGCATGCATAATTTGAGAAAGTTGTCTTGTCAAATTTTAATAAGAAATTGAGAGTTGTTGGGGAAAAACACGATCCCCCGACCTCTTCCAGGATCATCAGATCAAAGGTCTCTTGTACATTCACCCACCAACTCGTAACACAAAGATTCAATCTAACAATATCACTTTGTATTATACTATTGAAATATACAAGAGATATTTTACATGTAAACGGGTAGCTCACATCACTCTTTGTATATGGGACTACTTCACTCTCACTCTCTTATCTCAAGGAGACTCTCTCTCACTCAAGAGCTCTCCTTGAGGCTCCTCTCTTACATCCCTCAAGGAGGCTCTCTCTCTAGGCCCTCACTCACATGGCTCTCTCTCTAGAGGCTCTCTCTCTCGCTTAGGAATGAGGAGTCTCATCCCTATTTATACAACTCTTCTCAAAGTTTCTCTAGAACTTTCTATACATCACTACATTTCTAGATTCTTCCAAGAACTATCCACAAGCTTCTCTAATCTTCTAGAAGGATCTAGAGAACTCCACACTGCTCTTGAATGTCCTAGAGGCTTCTACACACTTCCGCACGATTCTAGAGAATTCCACACTTCTCTAGAAAGCTCCACAATGTTCTAGAATATTCTATACTCTTCCACACGCTTCTAGATAATTCCATGTCTCTCTAGAAAGCTCCAGAATATTCTAGAACATTCAATACTTCTCTACACATATCTAGAGAATTCTAGACATCTCTGCACTATTCTAGAATTCTCATTAATTCTCAATTAAGGAGGGAACCCAACAAATCTCCCCCTACCGACTTAATTGAGAAGTAACACTCAACCACCAATAGCAGCCTCACATTTAGACTCTGCAGTCTCCACCTCACATGTGAGTTGCTCCCCCTCAAACAAGGCTTGTATCACAACATATGAGCAGCTACAAGGAATGGTCATGATCTCCTCCGCAGCAAGAAATGATCTACCAAACTCTCTTGTACCGCCGCTATCTACTAACGGGACACGCCGCCTGATCACCTCAATATCAGGAAGACCTTCGATACTACGCACCAACAGTAGATCAAATCGCATGACCAAATCCTGGACACGATGTTCTCCAGAAGATCTCCTCTCCACCGACACTTGACCTACAATTCTTCTTGTACCGTCGTTGTTTACCAACGGGACACGCCGCCTGACCACCACAATATCAGGAAGACTTTCGATACAACGCACCACAAGCAGACCAAGATATGAGACCAGTCTGAGAACCACCCCACAATGCATTCTGTCACTCTGCTCCATATATGTATGACCCAAGCTCCATAATGAAGTCCAACATCCCATCAAAGAGCATGATCTCGAATGCCTCTACCAACACTACTACCATTATGGTAAGACGAGATCTATCCCCACGACGAATTTCACCCGTTACTCTACCTCCAACAACCTCGGCTTTGATACCACTGTTGGGGAAAAACACGATCCCCCCGACCTCTTCCAGGATCATCAGCTCAAAGGTCTCTTGTACATTCACCCACCAACTCGTAACACAAAGATTCAATCTAACAATATCACTTTGTATTATACTATTGAAATATACAAAAGATATTTTACATGTAAACGGGTAGCTCACATCACTCTTTGTATATGGGACAATTTTTTTTTTTTAAGAAAAAATTCTTGTATTATATATTTGAAATTTACAAGAGAGTGTACAAACGAACGGGTTTCTCACTTCACACTTTCTAGTTGGGAATACTCACTCTTCCTCACTTATGAGAAGCCTTTCTTTCACATCACAAATGAAAGGCTACATCATCTATTTATACTACTCACAAAGGGGTAGGGACTCCCTCTCTAGAATCTTCCACCCACCTCTCTACATTCTAGATTCTTTCAAGGAGCCTCCACAAGCTTCCATTATCTTCTTGAAGAATCTAGATGACTCCACACTTATTTAGAACACTCTAGACCACGCTACAACCTTCTACACATTTCTAGACATTTCTAGAGATTTCTACATTTCTCTAGAGACTAGAGTATTCTAGAAGATTCTATAACATTCTACACACATCTAGAGAATACTATATTTCTCTAGATAATTCCACAATATTCTAGAGAATTCTACTATACTCTTCCACACGCTTCTAGATAATTCCATGTCTCTCTAGAAAGCTCCAGAATATTCTAGAACATTCAATACTTCTCTACACATATCTAGAGAATTCCAGACATCTCTGCACTATTCTAGAATTCTCATTAATTCTCAATTAAGGAGGGAACCCAACAAGAGTGAACTCAGAAGCAGATCTAGAAAATTCTGTTATCGGAACATCTTGATCAAATAATAAAGACTTAGTTATATGTAAAGTGTGACTAACTAAACATATATTTAATTCAAATAATGTGGTATTTTCATATAATGGGAAAAGGCATTTCTTATATCCCTAACTAGTTTTCTCACTTTCTTTTGTCATCAGTTCTAAAATCATCTCTGATTTTTCCAACTCCACTAAATTATATTCATCTCATCTAATATACACTTTTAACTAGAATATTCTTCAAATATGATCAAAATATAACACAATTTTCAAATAAGTTTATCATTGATTTTTTAAAGAAACTATTCACTCCTAGAAGGAGAATTTTATCTATTTCATAGTGGGCATTACATAATTACATTAAAATACAATGTAATAATATGACTTTTCTATATTTTTTGAGAAGTCATTGTGCCCCATCGCTACAAACCTCCATCCACCCCGGGCTGAAATGATTTTACACCAGAATCTTAGATGAGACTATGAGAGTACTCTACTTATAATTTTAGTAAAAGGGGCACATTAAGACCCCGTTTGGTAGCATGAAAATCGGCTGATTTGGCTGATTCTTCTGAAATTTATGAAGTTCCGGCTGAAGTGGCTGCGTTGGTTGATTCTGTTGATTTAAGAAAAACTTATTTTTAAAATATATTTTATTAATAAAATAAAGAAAAAATTATATGTAAAAACAGTTAAAATGGTCATCTACAATAACTTCAGCCAATACAGCCGCAAAAGTAACTTCAACCTTACTTTTTCTGCTTATTACACAATTCAGCGCGCGAAAGCAAAAATTACGTGTTTGATGAAAAAGTTGGGTGATAAGCGGAAAAAAGAGTGTGTCCTCTAATTCTATTAGGGAAACCGCATTATTTTACTCCTATTTTTTCAAATTCCCAAGTTTAATTGGTTCTGATTTATAGAAACCTATACCTATATCTTTCATCATCATGCTCGTGGCAATTGACCCGAATTGGTGTATTCTTTAATTTGTTGGATCATAATTGGTCAGGTCGTGACCGAAAGTGAAAGACAGAGAATGAAGAAACTGGATGAGCTAAGCAAGGACGTGGATTCGATGTCTTCAACGAGGCCGATTAAGCACCCTTAGGGCTCATAATTACATACTTCGTATAAGGCTGTCAGTCTGGCACCTATATACTAAATTCCTTCCTTAAAACTTAGTAATCTTTGATTTTTTAAATCAATGATTGTAAATTTAGATAATGATTGTAATTAGTACCCCGGAGTATAATTTTATGAAAGTTATAATTTTTATACTTTTCAAATTATTTTCACAATGAATATTTCCACATCATTTTTATATTATAAATGACTTCATATAAAAATATATCATACTCAAAGTATAATTCTATTGACTAAAAAGATTCAAAGATGACAAATTGCGGGGCCTATGACTAGGTTTTCATTAGAAACAATCAGTTTTTTTATTGATTAACACTGCAAGATTTTCTTTCGTGTAAAGGTTCTAATAAATAAGATGATCGAGTATGATATACTCTCCTTAGTAGGAACAGATAGAACAAATGTTGGATTTTTCTATTTATCACGCCATTTTACACATTTTTATACACGCTTACCTCTAGTTGTTCGTGTAGTCAAGCAATTTGTTAAAAAAAAGTAAGACAATTCTCTCAGTGAACATGTAAAATTGGCATATACTCACCTAAACGTGTATACAAAGCACGACTCATATATGTTTTCCTTCAATTATTTTCCTTGGAGGTTTCTTCTCAAGCTTCCATTCAACAATTACAATTTGTGTAGCCCGCCATAGCCAATTCATCTCATTACTAGAAACAATTCACTTATTCATAAAATGTAATTTTTGAACGCTATTGGCTTTTGATGGACTAAACTTTCCTCTAATTGTTTGAGCCATGTTTCATTTACACGTTCAGTGTGTACACCTCGGATTTTACACGTTCACACAACCTATTTTATACTACGTATGTAGTATTTTTAAAATTCTCTTTGCCTTTTTTATGATTGACTGTGTACATTAACAATTAGGGGCGAGAAAAAACATGTATAATATACAACAACAATTTTTCAATTGGACCTTTTTAGTCCTATTTCACGTAATATTCTCTTTTTCAATTACTTGAATGCTTAAATAATTTGGATACATTTAGGGAATTTCTTTTTGGGTGTACACTGTTGCAATTACTATCTTCTTTATACATACAAAACATGGACTTCACCCTCATCATCCAACTTTTTTACAACTAAATTATGGATTCCTTGACTTGAGGCGCTCAATAAAGCCAATTTCTCTAGGAAGTTCACAATATTTTCAATAGGATTAAATTTTTTTGGTTTGGCTTGTCTAAATCTAATTTGATCCGGTAGATGCATGGTGTATGAGTACTTTATAATCACCGAAGTCTGGTTTGATGTAGTAAAGTTTAATTTAATCCAATATGATCTGTTTAAATGTAGTAAAAAATTTTCTTATTATTCTACTCCTTATTTGGCCAAGAGGGGCTAGGCAGAGCAAATTAGATTAAATTAAACTAAAGTTGCCTTCTTTTAAACAGATCATATTAGATTAAAAGAATAGGGGAAAAGGGTCAGATAGGCCCTCGAACTTACATAAAAAGATCAAATAAGCCCTTATATAGAAGGTTCTGTCCGGCCGTCGCCATTTGGGGCGGTTCCCGGTGGAATTTTTTGATGATTTTTTTAGAATCTTATTCATTACGTCTAGTTTACTCATACCAAATGTGAGCTAAAACTTCAATCGGGAAGGCATTCGAATAAATTCTTGAAGATAATTGCACAGTTAAAAGCGCAGTTATCTTCAAGAATTCATTTCAATGCCTTCCCAATTGAATAGTTAGCTGAAATTTGGTATGAGTAAACTAGACTTAGGGGGTGTTTGGAACTGATTCTGCTTCTGCTTCTTTTTTAAAAGCAGAAGCAGAATCAGAATCAGTTTTCAGAACTGGTACCTACCAGCTTCTAAAAAAACTGATTCTGAGAGTAAATTAGAGCTCCAGAAGTGCTTCTGGAATTTCACCCAAACACTCCAGCTTCTGCTTCTGCTCCCTGAAGGAGCAGAATCAGTTTTGAGAATCAGATCCAAACACCCCCTTAATGAATAAGATGCTAAAAAAATTTCATCACAAAATTCCACCGGGAACTGCCCCAAATGGCGACGGCCGGACAGAACCTCCTATATAAGGGTTTATTTGACCCTTTTATATAAGTTTGAGGGCGTATTTGACCCTTTTCCCAAAGAATAGTGCATATAATGCTTCTAATCGTGTTGCCTTCTTCCTGTTCACTATGCTTTCGACTTTAGCTCTAACTTCTTCGGAGCTAAAGCTTTAACTTTAGCTCCTAGAACAGCATGCAGTCGCACTGCCGTAGAGCCTGAGGGATAGCCTCATCAGTTTGTCTCGTTCTAATTTTTCTTTATTATGTCATTAGTTAATCTCTCGGTTCCATTTTACATGTACTATTTTCCTCTTATGTTGTTTCAAAATAAGTGTCACATTTGAGAAAATTATGATTAGCCCCCTGAGGTTATGCCATAATTATTAATGCAACCTTGCATTTTCAAAAATCATTTAGTTACCCCTTAAGTTTTGATTATTTTCATCGTTTGCCCCCTCATGTTAATATTTATTAAATTTAACTTAATATAAATCTTAAATTCAATAAAAACTATCTATAAAATTAAATTTAAAAGTAAATCACAATTTATTATCATTATTATAAGTCATTGTTGTTTACCGTTAATTTTTATACTTAGCTATTCAATCGTGGAATAATGAAAGTAGTTAAGGGAAAAGACTCACAAGTAAGATATAAAATATTATGAATTTATATTTTTTTATTTAAAAAAATTAAATATCATTTAAGCTTATTAAATTAATAAACTTTTTTTTGAAGAAGAAATCATTAAAATTAGTAATAGAATTAATAAAAAATTAAACAAATCAAAATCTATGATATACGGAGTATATTTTAGTTCTTAGAATGATAGGTTTCATTTGTTCAGGCTTTATATCGATACATTTTTGTCTTTTAGGTCTCTTATCAATACTAGATCAATCTTTTAGATCATGGATTGATAAAATTCATTTTTTCTTGGTTCTTTGCTACATACGAAAGAAGTGTTGTTGAGATTAATTCGTCCGGATGAATTACAAATAAGATTTTTATATTGATGATGAAGAAGTGTATATAATTTTGATAACACATATTTCAAATAATATTTCTTTTATGTATCCCATGAATATTACTCAATTGAGACTCTTTTACCTTAACTACTATGATCAATATTTATTCCACGATCGAGTAGCTAAGCAAAAAAAATGATAAAAAACAATGACTCATAATTATGATAATAATTTGTGTTATACTTTAAAAATTAATTTCACAGACAATTTTCATTGAATTTGAGAATTATATCAAATTTAATTTAACAAATATTAACATGAGAAGGGGCATATAGTGAGAATGATCAAAACTCAAGGGGTAACTAATTAATTTTTGAAAATGCAAGATTGCATTAATAATTATGGCATAACCTCAGGAGGTTAATAATAATTTTCTCTTTCTTTATATAAGGAAATATGTGGTCTACAACATTTCATGCTATTATACTCAAATCGCAATAACATTTTTTATGTTTTCAAATACTTTATTAATACTTGTGCTAGATCAATGTAGAACAAATAAAATGGCACGAGGTAGTATTTTTATCCTTTTCAATTTTATTATGCCCTCACGTAGTCACGTAGTTACAAAATATGAATATGGATAATTGATACGAAAAATTTAAGAAGACAAAAGAAATAAAGGTCTAAAAGGGGGATCGGGATCCTCTATCGTGCGACAGAGTGTCTTGCAGCATCGGACGACAGAACAACGACGAGGACGGTATCGAGATCGGCGAAAGAGTGAACCCCAAGGCCTCTCACCGTTGAATTTTAGATCGGACCGTTGTGAAGAGCAAGTACCCTACCTTGCCCTAAAGCAAGGTAGAGGCTCTAGATCCTTAAAAAAAGCTCACTTTTAGGGCTTCCCATTCATTTTTTAGCAGGGCTTCAATGTGTGAGGGCCGGGTAGGGGCTTGTTGGTAACTTGGTATCACCTTGTAGGCTGGAGGTTAACGAGACAAGTCTGCCCTCTCATATATAGTCATATGGATCCTTAATTTTCTCAAGCATTTTTAGCCTATTTTGATAAGTTTTTACTATAATCTGGAGCACTTTAGTAGTTTAATACTTTAGAGTCCGTTTGATAATACTCAAATCGACTGTATTTGCTGAATCTATAGAAATTTATGAAGTTTTGAATATAGTGACTGGATTAGTTGATTCTGCTAATTTATGAAAAATTATATTTAAAATACATTTTATTAATAAAACAAAGAAAAAATTATATGAAAAAAGCTAAAATGATCTTCTACGATAACTTCAGTCAATACAGCCAGAAAATTAACTCAAATATTACATTTCTTAGGGAGTGTTTGCGATTGCTTCTACTTTTAAAAAGTGATGTTTTAAAGTGATTTTGGAGAAAATACTTAATAGTAAAAGTTGGTAGTGTTTGAGAAAAAAGTGATTATGAAAAAGTAAAAGTTGGTAGTGTTTGGTAAAATAAGTGCTTTTTAAGTAATAGAAAAAGTGAAAAGCAGTTTAAAGCACCCTTCTACCTGCTTCCGGCTTTTAGCTTTAAAGTGATTAATTTAAGCAGAAGCTGTCATTTAAAAACACTCTTTTCAGCTTTTTTTAATCCAAAAGCTCAAAAGCACTTTTTTTAAGGAAGTGCAAACACTACTTAAATATTACACAATTAAACGGGCAAAATCAAACTTATAAAAAAATTACGAGTAACTGATAAGCCATTCTGGCTCTTCGAAACAGGCTTTTAACTAGTGATCAGAGTCACGAATACCCTAACAATCCAAACTCAAACCGAATTCCAGGGCGCAAAGAAGATGCTAACCCCTAGTAGCTCCACACAACACCACACACGCCCGAATGGAAGTGATTGTCCAAACTCAAATTCGAAGCCAAAGGTAATTGTGATCATGGGAGCAACAGGACCAGGAAAATCCAGACTTGCAATAGACCTTGCCTCCCACTTCCCAGTTGAAGTCATAAATGCCGATTCCATGCAGGTTTATAACAGTATATTGATATTAGGTCCATTTATATTTATCTATGAGACGAAGAAGAACGACCGATATCATGGTTTTAAGTTGCGATTGCTGTTAGTGGTCACAGTCATTGCAATTCCTGCTGTTGCCATGTCTGGTGTGGATTAGGTGCTGTTAATTAATTTCGTATTTGCTCAATATGTT